AATCACCTCGATTGCTTCTTGGAAAGAGAATAGTATTAATAAACCCAAAAGTAAAATCCTTAAACTTTTTAAAGAAAGGGAGAGACTAATGAGATTACTGTAATTAAGCTTGCATTAAATTGATCAGAGTTTCTTGATTGTCAAGTCAATAAGGGAAATGTGGTAGCCTGTATTTTGCATGGAAGGTTACAATTTGATAAGAGAAACGTACTTTTTCTTGGGAGTTTGCCATTTACTCATTCGTCAAGTATTTGTTAAATGCCTACTATGTGCCATGATGGTGTAACCATAGGGGAAGCAGCAGTGAATAAAAGTGATGTCCCAGCCTCTATGGAGACAGACATGTACAAGTATGCTACAGGTAGAAAATGAGAAGTAAATATTGCTCACAGTGCTGAAGGACTCAGGCAAAGTTCCACTGAGGAGCATGATATCCAGGTTGAGACCTAAGGGATGCATAGTAGTTAGCTCTGCAAGCTCAGAGAGAGATAGGAAACACATGAGTATAACCCCTGAGGTGGGAGAGAGCTTCATATACTGGGTAGAAAAGAAAGCCAGTGTAAGGGGGAGAGTGACAGTGTCAAGGAGAGGTAGAAGAGGTAGGCTAAGCCCAAATCATTCCTTAAGTGGAAAGCCATTGAGATTTTTGAGGAGAAAAATAATGGGATTAGATTTGCATCTGAGAAAAATTACTCTGGCTGCAGAATGAAAAATGCATTGAAGGTGAAGGGTAGACACTGGGGGCCCAGTCTGGATGCTGCTGGAGAAGCCCTGGTGAGAAATGGTGGTATCTTGGAGTGGAGTAGCAGCAGTGGCAATGATGAGATGTGGACATATTTGAGGTATTGAGGGAATAGGATCAATAGGATTTGAAATGAATGGGAAGTGAAGAAGAAAGCAGCTCAAGGGTGACTCCAGATGTTCTCATTTGAGCAACAATGGGATGGATGAGAAAACGAGATGAGAATAGGATTCAGAGAAGACAATGAAAAATGTTTCAACTTGTTGAGTCTGAAGAGCGCATGAAACATTCAAGTTGACATTTGAAATAGATATTTAGGCCTAGAATTAAGAGTAGAGATGAGTTCTGGAAATACAAATCTGAGAGTCTTCATAATGTAAAAGGTATTTCAAGTTGTGAGCATGATCTTAAAGGGAAGAGAGGCCTGTGTCAAATCAAGAGGATCATTATTCAGGAACCATTGAGCAATATGTCGGCCATTGTTGCTGGCAGTCATTTTACAGACTATTAGAAATATGTTTCAGTTGTCAAAATTTAAAATTCTATTTGATGAAGAAATGTCCACAAAGTGTTAAACTAATGTGTTCTAGACACAGCTTTCTGGTGTTCTAAGTTGGTCCAGAGATAAAGATATAAAACTTCCCAGAGACATTTGATTAACAGTTTACTTTCAATGGTTTTCAACTGGAGATTGAACTGCCCACTGGCCAGGGATATTTTAGAGATTAGTGGGGGCACTTTTTATTGTCATAATCACTTAAGGATGCTACTATCCTTGAATAGGTAGGAAACAAAACGTATTATTGTCAAACCCAGAATGACAACATGCCCTTGTTGAGAGACACTAATGGACTCTTGGCCAGATATCTTCCTCTAGGTCGCTGATTGCTAAGTTTCAAGCTGCCTGCCAGAGAGGGCCACTTGTCCCCTCTAGGTGCTGTCCTCTATTGTATTATCTTCTTCCTGTTCTCTTCCCCGGTCCCTTTGAACCAAGAGGTGATGACAACTCTGACTCTGGTGACCCCAGATGATTGCTCTGTCCCTTATGGCTCTTCTACACCCATATAGGCCTCTGTACATGATCCCTTTGTAAATAAACTCCTTCAGATGTCCTAGTTTGAGTGTGCTGCCTTTTTTGTGGGATCCTGAATGATACAGCCATCATTTCCTGTATTATTTGTCTCAACTATAGTTTCATAGTGATTCTAGTAATTAGCTCTAGATTTAGTTCACTAGTAGGTTACAGGAGAGTGTTGAATGAAGAGTTATCTTTTATTTTTTTGATGCTAGCCTTTCAGGAGGCAAACTAATAATTTAATTTTGGGATCTGGGCAGCCTGCATGTTCTCACCTTGATGGAGTGGCCATTCCCCTCTGCAGGAAGATGGTCCCATTAGTCCCCAGTAGTTACTCATGCATCATGCAGTTGCCCCTTTAAGTGCTTTTTCTTTCTTGTTTTTTTCCCCCCTGTTTTAAATATATTCTGAACAAATTCCCAAAGAAAAACTCAATTAAGATTCTGTTATTCTTTCATATACAGCATGAAAGGGTCATTTTAGACCTAGAAACAATTAAGGTCAGTATTTCTAGTCAACCACGTCAATCATAAAAAATGTCAGCGTATCCAAAAACCAAACCCAACCCTCTGCTGTCGAGTCAATTCTGACTCCTAGCGACCCTATAGAACAGAGTTGAACTGCTCCATGGGGTTTCCAAGGCTGCATATCTTTATGGAAGCAGACTGCCACATCTCTCTGCCTCTAAGCGGCTGGTGGGTTTGAACTGTCGACCTTTCGGTTAGCAGCTGAGCGCTTTAACCACTGTGCAACCAGTGCTCCCTGATGTCAGCATAGATAGTGTTAAATGAAGGAAGGAATAAAATGTTGTAGTTCTTTGATGACTTAAAATCAGCAGAAGCCCAGAGTTCCTATTTTGAGCACTCTACAAACCCAACTATAAATGGAGACGTTGACAGAGCAACTGGGCTGTTGATAGACATACCCGCCCCTGCACCTTTAAAGTCCACCCCCAAAAACACACACTTCAGAAGTCACATATTTTGAAAATGAAAATCAATCACACTCAAAATAAACAAAAAGGAATTACTGTAAACCAAACTCTTAGAAGGAGCCCTGGTGGCGCAGTGGTTAAGAGCTTGGCTGCTAGCCAAAAGGTTGGCAGTTGGAATCCACCAGCTGCTCCTTGGAAACCCTATGGAGCAGTTCTACTCCGTTCTGTAGGGTTGCTATAAGTCTAAATCGACTCGACAGTAACGGGTTTGGTGGTGGTTTTTTTCCCCCTAACTCTTAGAAGGAAGTTTTTTCACAAATTACCAAAATGCCTTCTTTCTCTCCATTAATGAACACACACACAGTTTGACCAGTCCCGAAGTCTTGGAATGAAGACATCAGAGCAGTTCCAGGAGCCACTGCCTTCTAGGAAGTATCTTACTAGTAACGCTCTCTTTGAGGGATGAGGAGGTTTCTCCTAGCTTTGTTGTGAATTCTGGTGTGTATGTGCTGGTATGTCTCTGAGTGTTTTACATATTATACCTACGTGTTTGAAAATAACACCTTTAGCTATCTATTTTTTCCCTTTGCAATTTTACATTCTCTACCTCACTGGAGGTGGAGGGGGTAAAGAACAGGCATCATTTTGAAAGCATGTTTATTTATGTTCTTCATGGTTAAAGACAGCTATGACAGCACTCTCCTGGCCCACATACTCAGTGAAATACATAGTGAATCTTTCTCCTTACTGGATTCTTTGGTGCTTCCAAGCATTTATTTTTGACATTTCTTTACTTTATTGTTTCTACAGAAATTCTTGAAGTTTTATCGTGATTCAACGTGTTCATTTTGAAATCAAGCTCACTTAAAAAATTAGATTCACATAAATATATATGAATACACACACACACATATATATATATACATTTATATTTTTTTTTCCTGGGATCTGTATCTCTGTAGCAATACTTTTTATGTGGGTATTTGTCTATTACTCACTCTAAGCGTCTTTAACATATGAAGCTCTGAGCTTCATGGAGGGAAGGCAGTATTCTAAGTTGAATGGTGCTTTTCTCCCACCCCAGAGCGGTTTGTAGTCTGGTAGAGGAGCTCTTGCAGTCAGTACCCGTTGAATGGATGTCTGTATTACAAAGCAGACTTGGCTGTGGACAGGAGAGAACAAGGTGCTATGAACGTACACTGTCTGCATCTTCTCTCTCCTGGAGCAGGCCCTCAGTACCTGGGCAACATCTTACGTTCCTCTGTCTCTTTCCCCTGCCCATCCCTTCTCTCAGCATGTGTGCATGCATTCACGTGCATACACACACACACACACACACACACACACACACACACACACACACACACACACACACACACACACACACACACACACACATCTAATCAGCTTCTGTATCTTGTCTGTATTGTTCGTTTGGGGTGCTGTCGTGTCGAATTTCAACTCCTAGCAACCCTGTGTGACAGAGTAGAACTGCCCCATAGAGTTTTCTTGGCTGAAATCTTTACTGGAGCAGATGGCCAGCTCTTCCTCCTGTGGAGCCGCTGGGTGGGTTTGAACTGCTGGCCTTTCAGTTAGCAGCCAAGCGTTTAACCGTTGTGCCACTAGGACTCCTATCTTGTTTATAGCTCCCAGTTATTTTTCACATCCCCTACTTCACTCTCTCCTGTCACTCCCCTGATTTGGGCCTTTATCATCATTTCCTTGATCTATTCATTGCTATTCTCTGACCTCACGTCTCTCCTCTCAAATTTGCTGGTGACTCTGCCTTGCCTAGGTGTTGATGCTGAACTTTTTGTTCCTTGGTTGTTTTGTTGGTTTTTCGATTATACTTCACCACGACCTTCATGATCTAGCCCTTGCCTATCTCTCCAGCTGCCTCCTTTGCTTGTCCATCACTCACAACGTACACTCCAGCAATATTAAACTTGTGTAGAGACTGGCATAGCCCACATACATATGTCTGTACTCGTATCTGTTAGCCAGGGTCTCCTTTTACATCCTCTGTGATCCATTCTGTCTGAATTTCCACCATGTTTCTCCCCTGCTGCTCAAACTTACTCATCTTTTTCTTGACAGTTGCCTGCTTATTCATCAAGTCTCATTAAATGCCTTATTTGTGTTTTGCAGAGTTAAAGTAAGAATTGATAGTTTTTAATACTGTTCACTTACATATTTTTATTATATTTCATTGGCAGTAATCTTTATTTTTATTTTCTCTCCCACTTTAGGGCTCTGCTAGTTCAACAGCCTCTCCACCAGTCTCCACCCCTGTCACAGGACACAAGAGAATGGTCATCCCAAACCAGCCTCCTCTAACAGCCACCAAAAAGTCGACCATGAAACCGCAGCCTGCACCCCAGGCTGGACCCATCCCGGTGGCTCCGATTGGAACGCTCAAGCCCCAGCCTCAGCCAGTCCCAGCCTCCTACACCACGGCATCCACCCCTTCGAGACCTGCCTTCAATGTGCAAGTGAAGTCAGCTCAGCCCAGCTCTCATTACATGTCTGCGCCTTCACCAGGGCAGTTTTATGGTGCAGGTGCAGGGCCCCAAGGCTATAGCACTCAGCCAGTGCCGGTTCCTGGACAGTGTCCACCTCCTTCAACCCGGGGAGGCATGGATTATGCGTATATTCCACCGCCAGGACTTCCACCCGATCCTGGGTATGGGTATGCCCCCAACCAAGCACGCTATTATGATGGCTGTTACCCAGGAGGATCTGGCTATGGGGGCAGAAACGACGCTGATCCTGCCTATAGTCAACAAGGTCACCAGAATACCTGGAAGCGGGAACCAGGGTACACTCCTCCTGGAGCACCTGGAGCAGGCAACCAGAATCCTCCTGGGATGTATCCGGTCCCTGGTCCCAAGAAGACCTATATCACGGATCCTGTTTTAGCTCCTTGTGTACCAGCTATGCAGCCAAAGGTAGGTAACCCATTAGCATAGCATTGGGAGTAAAGAGGTGCCTAGCCTAGTCTGCCTTTCTCAGAAAGCAGAACGTAAGGTGAGAACATATGTGTTATTCTCTTATTTCATTAGGGAGTAGAATCCCAAGGAAGCATAAGTGAAGCAGGAAAGGGAGATCCTGTTTGCCGATATGTTACCAGCCTGACTACTGTTTAGTATCAAGTGCAATTAATTGCACAATCTTTTTTTTTTTTTAATTGTGCTTTAGGTGAAAGTTTACAGCTAAAGTGTTTCTCATTCAAAAATTTATATAGAAATTATAGTGACATCGGTTACAATACCTGGAATGTGTCAGCACTCTCCCCGTTTCCACCCCAGGTACTCCATGTCCATTCCTCCAGTTTTCCTGTCCCTTATTGTTTACTTTATAGGCCTGTCTGATCCTTGACTGAAAGGTGGACTTTGGGAGTGGCTTCAGTTCTGAGTTAGCACGGTGTTCATGGGCCATAGTCTCTATGGTTCCTTCAGTCTCTGTCAGACCAGTAAGTCTGGTCTTTTTTTTTGGGAATTTGCATTTTGTTCTACATTTTTCTCCTGATCTGTCTGGGACCCTCTATTGTGATCCCTGTCAGAGCAGTCATTGGTGGTAGTCGGGCACCATCTAGTTCCTCTGGGTTCAGGCCGGTGGATGCTGTGGTTCATGTGGTCCGTTAGTTGTCTAGACTAATATTTTTCTTGTGTCTTTGGTTTTCTTCATTCTCCTTTGCTCCGGACAAAATAGGACCAGTAGATGTATCTTAGATGGTCGCTCTCAAACTTTTAAGACCCCAGATGCTCTACTCACCAAAGTTGGATGTAGAACATTTTCTTTATGAACTATGTTATGCCAGTTGACCTAGATGTCCCCTGAGACCATGGTCTCCAGCCCTCAGCCCCAGTAACTCGGACACTCTAGGTGTTTGGAAGTGACTAGAAAGCTTCTGTGACTTTGCCTTGATCAGGTTTTGCTGACCTCCCCTATGTTGTGTGTTGTCTTTCCCTTCAACAAAGTTAACACTTGTGGACTGTCTAGTTAGGGACTTCTCCTCCCCCACCCCACCCCCCACCCGCACCCCAGTAACCATCAAAGATTGTTTTTTCCTTTGTGTAAACTTTTTCTTGAGTTTTTATAGTAGTGGTCACATACAATATTTGTTCTTTTGTGATCGATTTATTTCACTCAGCATAATGCCCTCCAGATTCATCCATGTTGTGAGATGTTTCACATATTCATCATTGTTCTTTATTGTTGTGGAGTATTCCATTGTGTGTGTGTGTGTACCACAGTTTATCTGTTCATCTGTTGATGGGCACTTAGGTTGTTTCCATCTTTTTGCTATTGTGAATAATGCTGCAGTGAACATGGGTGTGCATATGTCTATTCATGTGACAGCTCTCATTTCTCTAGGATATATTCCTAAGAATGGGATTGCTGAATCATATGGTACTTCTATTTCTAGCTTTATAGGAGGTGGCTTATCATTTTCCAAAGTGATTGTACCATTTTACATTCCCTCCAGAAGTGCATAAGAGTTCCAGTCTCCCCACAACCTCTCCAACATTTATTGTTTTCTGTTTGATAAGTGCCACTAATGTTGGGGTGAGATGGTATCTCGTTGTAGGTTTGATTTGCATTTCTCTGATGGCTAGTGATCGTGAGCATTTCCTCTTATGTCTGTTAGCTGCCTGAATGTCTTCTTTGGTGAAGTGACTGTTCATATCCTTTGCCCATTTTTTAATTGGATTATTTGTCTTTTTTGTTGTTGAACTGTTGGAATATTTTATAGATTTTAGAGATTAGACCCTTGTCAGATACGTCATAACCAAAATTTTTTTTTCCCAGTCTCTAGGTTCTCTTTTTACTCTTTTGGTGAAGTCTTTTGATGAGCATAATGTTTAATTTTTAGGAGCTCCCCATTATCTAGTTTATCTTCTGTTACTTGTACATTGTTAGTTACGGTTTGTATTTATGCTGTGTGTTAGAGCCCCTAGCCTTATCCCTATTTTTCTTCCATGATCTTTATCATTTAGTTATTGTTTAGGTGGGGCAGCTGTATAGCAGGAGGGGGCAGGGTGGGTCTGAGGAGGGGCTCGTATTGTGGACCCCAGTGGTAGGGGCTGCTGGGATGGGGGGTTCTTGCTTCTACTCGTCTGAAAAGTGAAGGGTGGGAAATCTTTTTTCTCTGGTTACCAGATGCTGTGTCTCCTGTGTAGAGCTCCGTGAAGTTGCCTTCTCGTACTCCCTGTCTGGGGTGGTTGCTGGCTGTGTTTGAAAATGGCCATGCTGTGCCATATTAGTTGGCAGGGGACCTCCACTCCGTATCTTTCCTCATTTTCTGTTTTCCATCAGTTTCTTCTTCCATTCAGTGTTTGATCTAATTCTCTGTTCCTTCATTTGGTGCTGAGGGTTCCAGGATTGATGCTTGTATACTTTGTACTTGGTTTTTAAGGTTTTTTCTGCAGAGGGACGGATTGGTGTGTCTGTCTAGGGTGCCATGTTGGCTCAGCCCCCTAACTGCACAATCTTGAGTGCCATTTTCCAAAAGGCCATAGTATCCCAGGACAATCTTGTTAGCAGCCATAGCTCTTAACCACTGCACCACTGTGGCTCCTTTTTCAGGGAGAGGAAGTGAAAATAATTAATCCTCCAGCTCTTCTCTCCTGTTGGTCAAAGCTTCCCTCTATGGGGCATAATTTTCCTTGCACTTCCAGGTGGCACTTGCATGGACACAGAATAGGTCTACAGTATCTCATGCCTTGGCAGGTACAGGGAATCCCCGGATATGGAGGCAAATGGTTTGCAAAACAGGTATGAAGTGAACCACTTTCCGGATATGTCCATGTGAAAGCAGTTGAGACCCAAGCAAAGCCGGTACCACAGTGGCTGCTGGAGCAGAACAAGTGGCTCAAGGCCCAGGAGACGAGTGAGACTAGGGGAGTCTAAGGTAGTGCAAACACCTGGTCTGGTTTCCTTTAGGCACAGGCTGTGGTGAAATGAGACTTATCTGTTAACGCTTGTTCATCCACATTAATCACTGATGAAAAGTCTTACTCTCTAGTCCTGAACCCTAGTAAGCACTTTTTAAAATAAAATCCTTTGAGTGGCAGTCATCTTTTTTGTTGTTTTATGTAACTACCAACATGTATGCTTTTTAACCCAACACTTTGTTAATCCCTCTGAATAGTAAAAGTTCTGCACATACCTACTATCCTAAGATTTGGATTGTGCATCAGTCTGAAAACCAACATGTTGTTTGCTCCCACCCTGACAAGAAGAGTTACTTGAAAGGGTGAAAAGGAGAAACCAAGCTGGTTTCCAGCTGTTGGGTTGAAACAGCATCCTCCCTTCTTTTCACTCAGAGCTGTGATAAATCAGAAATTAGAGCCTTTAATTACCTGGAAGCTGAATGATAATTTTGGAGGGTGGATTGGGTAGAAAGTTGTTAGAGGTCATTGAGTTGATTCTGACTCATAGCAACCGTATATGACAGAGGAGAACTGCCCCACAGGGTTCCCTAGGCTATAATCTTTATGGGAACAGATGCCATGTCTTTCTCCTGCGGAGCCTCTGGTGGGTTCCAACAGCTGACCTTTAAGTTAGCAGCTGAGCTAACTATATACAGTTGTTTATATGTGTGTGTATATATGTATATACACATATGTATATGCATGTATATATATGTGTGTATATATATATGTAAATGTATACATATATAACTATATGTAAATAACTATATATGTATATATATGACTAAGTAACTAAATATATATATATATAAATCCTTTCCACATTTGAGATTCTCAGTTTCCAAATAGATTCATTCACATTTTCAACATTGTAATGAAAATCTTTAGGCTTTTGCTATCATGGTAGCGTGTTCTGTAAAGTACATTCTCGCATGAAAGCATCTGCTCCATCAGCATTGCTCCCAGTGAATTTTAGATTCGTTAGAGAGACAGAGCCCTGCCCTTCCCAGCAAGTGTGACCTGTGAGGAGCTAGAGGCAGCCGTCAACCTCATGAATGTCCATTACGTGAAATTGGCTCAGCCACGATCATTCCCCCCTAGAGCAATATCAGCATCCTAAGTTAAAGTTTTAAATATTTTTGAAACAGCACTCTTGGGAGGCTTCTGTTTTCAAAACCTCTTTAGGAAAAGGAATGTTATTAAGGTTTTATGTGTTTCTTTTGTTTTTTTAAATAAAGTTTGTGCAAAGTAGCCAAGCTGGATAGCCTTGCCCTTTTTTCTAACTTCAGAATATATTTGCATTAGCCCTTCCTGGCCGTCAAAGTAACCAGCTTGGAGAAGATGAGATTATCCAGCTTTATTTCACTTTGGTACTATTGTAATAAATTTCTGCTATAGAAGATTAAAATAAAAGTTTACATTTCAACAATTGCTGCCCAGATTTAAGCTCAAATAGGTGTGCAATTTTGCCCTGGCCAGTGCAGTCTGCTGGGCAGGGTGACTGCGTGATGTTGCTAAGGGAAAGGCCTGGCCCTTGGGCTGTTGAGAAGCCCTGGTGGCGCAGCGGTTTAAGCGTGGGGCTGCTAACCAGAATGTCAGAAGTTCGAAAACCCCAGTGGCTCTGCAGGAGAAAGATGTGGCAGTCTGCTCCCGCAAAGACTTACAGCCTTGGAAACCCTGTGGGGTCACTGTGAGTCAGAATGGACTTGAGGCAGTAGGTTTGGTCTTTTGGTTTTGTTTTCATCCCCACTTGGGGAAACAGACATGAGAGAGAATGAAAGTATGTCTAGGTGGAGTGAATAGTCTGGTGAGAAGGAATGAGCCAGGTTTTGAGTTTCCAGTTTTCCAGTCTTGTCACTGGCCCTGAGGACAGTCATTCTTCAACATTTGGAACCAATCCAGTGGTGGAGGAATACAAATCGGTACCCACTGTAAAACCTGGATCTAAGATGTTGGGGTCAAGGCACATTACTAGCTTTTGGTCCATCCTCACCAACCTACTCAGGGTGACG